GTAGGGGTCTTCTTGCTCAGCAGCAGCCCCGCTGCCCTGGGTCCCAGCCTCTCATCTTCCCAGGGGTTCCCACCCCCTCACTGTCTCCTTGGTTTCTCCTCTCTCCTGCTCTTCCACTCTGCCGCCCCCTTGTCCAGCTACCTCTGCCTCTTTGCAACACGAGGTCTTTAAATAGTCCTATCTCATTCACTGTCTCCACTTGCTCACTGTCCCTCCTTCCTCACTCCATCTGGACGTGCTCTGGTTCTCCCCTCCTTCTGAGGCTGCTTTGGCCAAGAGTACTTAGTAACCAACATGCCACCAAATCCAGTGGCCGTTTTTCAGGCCTTATCTCACTTGACCTCTTGGCAGCATTTGACACTGTTGTCCGCTCCCTCCTCGAAACTCTTGCTTCAGGTGACCTCCCTGACACCTCTCTCTTCCGGTTTCCTCCCATCTCTGGCTGTGCCTGGCTGGCCTGAAAGGAGGGCCTCTCCTCCCTCTGTGCTGCCAGCGTTCCACTGGGCCCTCATCTACATTCACCATATGCTGGCCGGACTGCCTTAGCTGTTCCCATGACCTCAGTCAGCATCTGTACCCTGATGTTCCCCCAATTTGCACTGCCGGCCAGAGTCTCTCTTCTTACCCAGTGTATCTTTGCCCAGTGTCCATGACCCCTCAACATGCCACAGTGGAACTCATCTGCCTGCGCCTGCGCCCGCGCCTCTGCTGTCTCCCAAGCGTTTACTTGTAGCGCCTTCATTAATCACCAAGTCCTATTTCCTGTCTTTCTTTTGTCCCCTCACTTCTCTCTATTTCCTGTTGCCACCAACCCAGTACAGGCTACCAGCCCATCTCCATTGAGTTATGGAACCTCTGCCTAGGTTTTTGATCGGTCTCACTGCTCTAGTTGATGGTCCACACTGCCCCTGAGTGATGGTCCTGAAACAAATCACAAGGTGGTTCCCTCTCTTCAAACTCTTCTGACCCAGCTCTGCCTCTTGGTTGGCTAAGGGAGAGCGTGGTTTCTGACTGCAGCCAGGCGTGACCGACAAAGGTGTTTCAAAACCGCTCTTCTCGCTCTCTGCTGGGAAGATTAGAGAGGACTGAGGCCAGGCAGCTTCTGGTGCTAACTCTCTGAACAAGTACACAAGCATAGATGGAGGAACTGAGGCTCCAGGAGCAGCCAGGGACGACTCTTGGACAGTCTGTGTGTTTTGTGTGATGAAACCACACACTGGCCTGGCAGCTTCCAGCACAGGGTTCCTTCTGTCTATCTCTTCCATCCTTAGGCTTCAGACATTGACTTCCCTGCTGCTGCCCTGAGAATGGGCCTGTGTGTGAGGACCAAGGCCGAGGCAGCTGGAGGGCCGGCTGCTGCTGGACTTGTAGCCCTAACTCTGCGACTGTCACTGTGTGATCCTGAGCAAGTCTCTTGGCCCTGAGCCCTATTTCCTCTCCTGGAGGATGGGAGTAATTATTCAGGTGCCTGGAACATAAGATGTTGCTATCAGACCAAGTACATCCCTGAAAAGGAATTGAGTGTTTAGAGGTAAAGAAACTCCCAGCCTGCAGATTAAGGTAAAATTCAGTTTTGTTTTGTTTTTTTTCTAGTCAATACTGATAGTGCACACCATGGCTGTTCTTTGTGGAACTATATCTCCAGCCTTTAAAACAATTTTTTTTTTTTTTTTTTTGAGACAGTGTCTCACTAAGTTGCCTAGGCTGGCTTTGAACTTTCAATCCTTCAGCCTCAGCCTCCCGAGTAGCTGGTATTACAGGTGTGTACCACTGCCCCTAGCTAAATTCAGGGATTCTGAAAGCAGCATCCACCAAAGGGGATAGTAAGGTCAGGAGCCTGCCTCCTTTGGAAAGCTGCTGGGGAGCCTGACTAGTTGGGGATGGATGTGCTTAGAGCTTTGGGAGCATCCTCAGTGGGTACAAACTGGATGTTCTGGTTTGGTCATACGGTGTTTTGATGTTCATTTAATGGAGATTCTTGCTATTGTTTTCTCAGTTTTTCAACAGTGCCATGAAACCAGTCTATGTAGCAAACCAGCAGGGCAGAGGGAGATTGCTCAGGGATAAGGCTATTATTTTGGAGCAAGGATGGCTCCAGAAGGCCTCTCCAAGGGCAATGACATTTGAGCAGAGACCTGGATCAAGGGAGTAAGGGAGCAACAGGCAGAATAAACAGCAAAGCAAGAACAAAGCCTGGAGGTAGAAATAGTTTGAGTGTGTTCCAGGAATGGCAAGGAAGCCAAAGGGTGGAAGTATAGTAAGTGAGGGGGGAGGGTGGGAAGGATCAGATTCAAGAGGTGGGCTAGGGGCCAGGCCTCACAGGCCTTGCTGGACATGAAGGCTTTGACCTTCACTCTGCAAGTGTGATGGGAAGTCAGAGGAGAGTTTCAAGGAGACTGATAATGTCCAGTGCTGCGTCTTAGGAATTTCACTCTGTCTACTTTGAAGAGGGGGTTCTGTGAATGTGAGATTGGAGGCAGGGAGCTCACTTGGGTCAGATGGCGATGCCTTGGTCAGGATGGTGAGACCTGTCCAGGGATATGTTTGGAAGGTAAAGCTGACAGATTTTTCTATGGAGCAGGATTTAGAGGGTCAAGGAGAGGAAGAGTCCAGCATAACTTAACAGTCAGCCTGAGTGAGTCTCTGGGCACCATGACTGGTGGGCACAGCTAGAGTCTGTGTTTGAACATGTTTGGTTTGAGAGTGTAGCCATCCAGGAAGCTGTGTGGAGTAGGCAGGTGGACAGGTGAGCCGGACCACCCAGAGAGGCTCACACCTCTAAGGACAAAGGCTGTTGTAGTAAGGGGTGGAGGCAGGGTTTAGAGTAAGTTTTTCCCTGTTTGTATTTTTAAGAAAATGTATTTAAAATGCATGCTAGTTATTACCCAAGAAACCCACATTCATTCTAAAAAGTATTAAGAAATACAAATAGGTGGGGGTTAGAGCCGATTATGTAATTTTTCAACTCTTGGTACCTACATTTAAACACTGAGGTCACATTGTCCTTGAAGCTTTATGATCTGCTTTTTTCATGTAACCTATTGTGAAGTGGACAGTTTATAGATCGGCAGTATTGACATGGCAAGAAAAGTGTTGAGGGAAAGAACTTTAGAAATGCCCAATAGGAAGCCGCCTCGCAGCCCACTGCTACCTGAGGCCTGAGGGCCGCTGAGACGGGGCTGAAGGATTCCTGCCAAGGACCAGGTGAAGGCCCAAGAAAGCCTGGTCACTGCCCTTCCTGGAGGAGGGCGCTGGATGAGATGACCTCCGAGGAGGGCCTTTCCTGCTCCAGATGCTGCTCTAGTGCCAATCCCAGGTGGCATGGCTGCTGCCATTGCTGTGCGTGCCGAGTGATTCCAAAGAGCATGTGCTCTGCTCCCTGAGCCTTATGGCTTTGCTGACTCCACTCTTGGTGAGAACTGTCGAAGGGTCTCCTTACTTGCTCATCCAAAGCCCTTTGCTGATGTCTGCCACTTGTCTCCTCAATCCAAGGGCATCAGCTGGAGTGCAGCCCCAGGTCTTGTCCTCTCACAAGGTGTAAGTGGGCCAGGGCAGAGCCATGCCGTACACCTGTCTTTCTGCCCGGAGCCCCGTCTTACAAATAGAGAGACTGGCTCAGAGAAAGTAGATGACTTTTGTAGGGCCACACACGCACAAGCCCTCATCTCCAAGCTAGGTCTTTTTGACCTCCAGCTCATGCCCTTGCCACATGAAACCTGAACACAAATAAGGCCATGGAAAAAGTGACTTGGGCCACATACAGGAGGCCAACCCTGGGAAGGGAGTTTGAAGAGGGAATATGGGGGGCACAGAGACTCTGCAGAGCTGGTGGCGTCTGAGCAGGGCTGAAGGGTGCCCACGGCTCATGTGATGAGTTGCTTTAGGCAGCAGTGGCACAGAGGCAGGGAGCCTGGGGATCAGGCCACAAGGGGCGCACTGCCAGAGATGCCCATTCCCTGCGGGTCCTTCAGTGCTCCTGCATGCTCAGCACGCCTCCTTCCGGAGGAGCGCTCCCTGGAGTCTGGCCTCACCCCCTGTGCAGCCCACGCCCTCTCATCCTGCTCCCTCACGCCTGTAGCTGCTCACAGCCCTCCCCGTCTCCCTTCCACTGGGGCGCTGGGAACCCTAGCTTGAGTTTCAGCTCTGTCCTGGAGATAGTCAAGAAACCTTGGGCGAATCCTTTCTTTTTCTTGGCCCCGGTTTCTTTGGGTGTGTCACTAGGGACGAGGGCATTGGATGAGCTAAGCTCTAAAGTGCCTCTCATTTCAAAATAACTGTTTTAGGGCCACAGGGTAGCTTCACTCCGCCCAAGGGAGTTCTGTTCTCACGCACCCAGCTCCTCATTGCCTGATTACCTTTGCTCTGCACCCTTCCTTCCCTGATCCCCTTTCCTTCGGTAGCTGTCTTGTTATTGAATTTCAGAAAGCCCCCGAAGGCAGGGGCAGTTATCCCCTTCTGCAGATGAGACCAAGCTCCTGCCACCCTGGAGTGCACAGGGATGGTGGTCCTGCCCTCAGCCACTGACCCCTCAAGACAGCCGTGGGCCAGGGGTATAGCTCAGTGGCACAGCACCTGCTGGTAAGCACAAGGTCCTGAGTTTGATTCCTGGTAACAAACACAAAAACCAAACCAGGGACCAAGGCCACCACTTGCAGGTGGCTGAGCTTTGAGGACCACTGAGCCCGTGTGTCCCCACCAGCAGCCAGAGGAATTGCCACTCACAATTTAGCGACCTCCTTTCTGGACTGCAGCACTGCCAAGGTGTCACTGGAAAGGCTGTGAAGTAACCGTGAACTCTGCAGCCAGGAGCTTGGGCGCTGCTGCCTCTGGTGTCCAGCACTGAGCCATGGCTCTAAGGAACTCAGGTTCATATTCTGCTTTGCAAAGAATTCTCCCCAGATAATGCTTCCCTCCTCTGACTCCATAGCTCCCTTCCAGATGCTCCTCAGCTGTCCTGTTCCCCTGGCCATCTAACCCTCTCCTTCATGCTACAATTGCAGATTTTTGCTGGTCTTCAGCTGCCTGGTGCTGTCTGTACTGTCCACTATCCAGGAGCACCAGGAATTTGCCAATGAATGTCTCCTTATTTTGGTGAGTGTGGGGAGGCCCAGTCCCAGGAACTTTTGTGAGCTAGCACCTTTGGGCTGAGGGTGGGGTAGAGTGAAGCTTCTCAGACTTTGGATCAGAAGCAGATTGCTGGTGGCGGGTAGTGGTGCATGCCTGTAATCCCAGCATTCTGGGAAGCTGAGGCAGGAGAATTTCAAATTCAGGTCCAGCTTGAGCAATATAGCGGCTTTCTGAGGCATCAACTCACCATAAAAAATAAAAGGTTGGGGACATAGCTCAGGGTCAGAGTCCTGGGTTCTATCCCCAGTGCTGTCAAAAAAGGTCAGAGGGATTGTTGTCCTGTGGTTCCTGAACTGGTGGCTATCTCTGTCTACCTCGTCCCCCACTTTATAGCTGGTATAAGGGAGGACCGTGTGTGACTTCTTAATGATGGGCTCAGAATAGACAGGTAGGTAGGTTCCACCCTTTTTCAGGTCAAAACTGCTAACTCCTAAACAAAACACATCAAACAGAAGCTGCTGGAGATAGGCTGCTAATGGACAGCCACCCCTTCAGGTCACTCCAGGCTCTGGAATCTGGGGTGGTTGGGAGGTGGGCAGGCCGATGAGCAGGAAGGTCCAGACAATTTATGGGGGCAAGAAGTAGAGGGAAGCCTGGATTTTTTTTTTAAAGACAGGGTCTTACTCTGTAATTTGGGCTGGCCTTGAACTCACTATGTAGCCCAAATGGCCTCAAGCTTGTGATTAGCCTCCTGCCTCAGCCTCCCCGTGCTGAGATCATAGGCTTGTGCCACCACTCCCAACCAGACCCGCTTTTAGTCTCCTTAGAGGATGTAAAAAGGATCACCCCCCTTCTGGAATCCTCCCAAGTCCTTCCAGGTGTAAGAACTTCCAAGAAAGGGGTATGCGGAGGTGCTGGCCTTCCTAACCAGGGACTCTGCCAGGGCTGTGTTTGACCTGAGTCCTGGTCCCAGAGGGTTGGGATCAGAACTCGGGCCCCTGGTCTCACAGGAATTCGTGATGATCGTGGTCTTTGGCCTGGAGTACATCATCCGCGTCTGGTCTGCTGGCTGCTGCTGCCGCTATCGAGGATGGCAGGGCCGCCTGCGCTTCGCCAGGAAACCCTTCTGTGTCATCGGTATAAGGCTGACTCCTGATCCCAAGCCCCAGGGTTGGCACCTTGACCCCATCCCTGACCCCAGCTCTGGCTAGTGACACAGACTCAGGAGACCCTCCCAAATCTTCGTGCCCCCGCCCCCCGCGGCCCCAGCAACCCGGACCCTGGGTCCTGCGGCGGGGTGGGCTGGTGACCTTGTCACCCTTGCCCTGCAGACTTCATCGTGTTCGTGGCCTCGGTGGCTGTGATCGCCGCGGGCACACAGGGCAACATTTTTGCTACGTCGGCGTTGCGCAGCATGCGCTTCCTGCAGATCCTGCGCATGGTGCGCATGGACCGCCGCGGCGGCACCTGGAAACTGCTGGGCTCGGTGGTCTACGCGCACAGCAAGGTGGGGGCTGCTTGGAAGTAGGAGGCGGGGCGGACTAGCGCAGCGGGAAGGGGCGGGGCCGGGCCGGGGCAGAGACGGAGGCGGGGCCTGAAAGCACAGGAGCCCAGCGAGGCGGGCTTAGGGATTTCACCCTGGAGCCTCTGTATGTGGGGACACGTCGTGCACCGCCAGGTGGGGAGCTTGGGTAGTGGGCCGGGACTAGATGTAGGGCCCCAGATGAACCCTGAAAGTGGGGCCGATGGGAAGCAAGGTGGGATCTGGTGGGACCTGGGACCTGGTGGGACCTGGGACCTGGGGGGTCAAGGGCAAGTCCGGGGGTCCTGGTGATTCCAGAAGGCGGGAGAGGGTTTCCTTGAAGCGGGGAGCTGAAAAAGGCGAGCAGAGTCACTGCTGGGTACTGGGGAAGGGGTGTGTTGATCGACAAGAACATGGCCCAGTGGGTGCCGCTCCTCACGCCCCTCCACCTGCCCACCCCACTAGGAGCTGATCACCGCATGGTACATCGGGTTCCTGGTGCTCATCTTCGCCTCCTTCCTCGTCTACCTGGCGGAGAAGGACGCCAACTCTGACTTCTCCTCCTACGCCGACTCACTGTGGTGGGGGACGGTGCGTGGAGGGTCTATGCAGGGCTGCCCTTCCAGGGGCTCTCCTGGGAGACTTTCCGAGGCAGCCTGTCCCTGTCCTCTTGCACTAGGGTTGGGATTCCCTGTGACCAGCCCCTGTCCTGGTCTCGTGACCTGCTCTGCTGGGCCTGCTTGTGCCCGCATGTGCCCCCTTCTAGCCCCTCACTCAAGCCCTTTCCCCTGACCAGCACTAGAGGAGAATCCGGCTATGCCCCTACCGTCCTCATGACAAGACCTTGTGGCCAATCCCTGTGGGAGACCACTGTGGGAGGAGGCTGAGGGAGGTTACCCTGTGATCACTCTCCCACCTGCCTGTGCCCCCAGATTCTAGTAGGTGGCCCCTGAGACTAGTCCTGTGGGTAACCCATTTGTATCCCCAGATTACACTGACAACCATTGGCTATGGTGACAAGACGCCGCACACATGGCTGGGCAGGGTCTTGGCTGCTGGCTTCGCCTTACTGGGCATCTCCTTCTTTGCCCTGCCTGCTGTGAGTTCCCCTCTGCTGGGTTGGTGGGGAAGGCCAGGGGCAAGACTTCCTTAGCTCCTGCTGCAAATTTGCCTGCACAGCCTGGAGCACCTCAGATGTGTGGGAACCGGGACATCCTTGTAACCTGCTCTGGCTCCTACTTCCTAAGTTGCCCCAATCATGCTCTGTCTCCCTAGGGCATCCTCGGCTCTGGCTTTGCCCTGAAGGTCCAGGAGCAGCACCGGCAGAAGCACTTTGAGAAGCGGAGGATGCCAGCAGCCAACCTCATCCAGGTACACAGTGCCCTGGAGGCCCTTGGCACAGGGTGATGTAACAGACCTGGTGTGCTGACCCCTGTGTCCCAGCTCTGCGTGCTCGCCCCTGTGTGCCAGCCTCACAACTGTGACTGCACTTTGAAGTTTAGACAGGAATGTGACTTTCCTGGGGTCACATGCCAAATCAGAGATCTGAGTTGCTGGCTGAGATTTCAGAACTTTTCCCTTCATCAGATGTCCAGTTTGGGGCTCACCAGAGCCATCCCATTACCAGCTGTTCCCCAGCTCTACATGGCCTAGGATGGGGTAGAGGCTGGACAGGAGGCCTCAGGCCCTGGTGGCGATCCAGCTCTGAGGCCCCTCAGCTGTGCATGTATCAGTCAGTCTGCTCCACTCCAGGCATCTTCCTTCAGTCATTTATTCCCCAGGCATAACGGATAAAGAGATGGTTTAGGACTGGGCTGTTAGGGACACTAACATTTACTGGCCAGGTGGGAAAGGAGCCAAGAGACAGAGAAGGAAGAGCCAGAGGAGTGGGTGGGATGCCAAGGCTTGTGGTCTCAGTTTCCCTCAGTGTGATGAGTGATCGGAGTGGCTGTGGGAGGAGGCCAGGGCTCTGATTTTCTGTGACCCTGTGAGTAGGTCTGGGCTTCTCTCCAGTCCAGGGTACGCGCAGAAGAACTCTGCAGGAAATGGGGTGGGAAATACTGGCACCACCACTTCTGCCTGCTCCCCACACACCCCTTTCTGACCCACCAGCTCAAGCCTGACTCAGTCACTCCTTATCGCGCCTCCCCAGGGTGGAACCCCCACTGCTGCCAGCCCAGCCTTTTCTTCTTAGTGTCCCTTGGGGCACAATGGCTACTGTCCCCCTGGGAGCTGGCCTTCTGAGGGGCATTGTAGGGGCAGGCGGCTGGCACCATCCATGCCAAGAGACAGCTGGTATTGTGGTACCCATAATTAATGAGACAGCTCTGGCAGCTGCTCCCCAGCCCATGCCAGGGACCTAGGCAAGCAGGAAGTAAAAATATTTCTGTCTTAGGAAGGCGCCTGGCCGGTGAGGTCAGCGGTGGCAGCCCCTTAAGGACAAGAGGTACCCAAAGAAGGGGGGCATCCAGGGCCCAGTTCTCCTTTGTCCTGCCTAGCAGCTTCTGTGTCTCCTTGCCCTGGCTGATCACACCACTTGCAGTCCCTCCCTGCCTCTTCTCCTTATCTGGAGAGAGAAGGACAGTCCTTCCTTCGCCTGACCTTCATTCCTCCTGATGCAGAGAAAGCCTTGTAAGTCCATGGATCCTGAGGAGTTGGTGGGGATGCTCTTTCTTCCCCTGCTCAGTCCTTGGTATTCCCATGGGAAGTGACAGGCAGCTGGGAACAGTGGAGTGGAGTTCTTTTTTTTTTTTTTTTTTAAATGGTCCAGGGCCTACACAATGAACTCCATCCCCAGCTTTTTAAATTTTTTTTTTATTTTGAGACACAGTCTCACTAAGTCTCTAAACTGCCCAGACTGGGCTTGAATTTGAGGTCCTCCTGCCTCAGCCTCCCAGAGTGCTGGGATTACGGGCATGTGCCACCATGACAGGCTGGAGCATGATTCAGTCAGCATTCACTTCCCAAACATTTGTAGGACACCTACGTGTGCCAGATACTGTACTTGGCATTGAAGATACAGTGGTGACCAAGACACAGCTTATGGTCCAGGGGAAGAAGACATTAACCAACCATAATGAACAGATATTTATCAGATGTGGTAAGGGAACCACTGAAGGGCTCAACAAGGGAGCCTAGCATTAAGTGCCCACTATACATGAGGCATCGAGCTTGGCATTGGATAGATATCTGTCCCCTTAATCCTCACAATGCCCTGTTAGATAACTGGTGTCCAATCCATTCTACAGGTGAGGAAACTGAGGTTCTGAAGCCTTACACATAAAGGGCAGAGCTGGGTTTATAACCCATGTTTGCCTGATGACAAAGCCCCAGCTCTTAGCCCTGTGCTGCAAGGCCACTGGCTCTGGTGGGATCTGTATCCCCTTGGAGAAGTCACTTTTCTCTAGGCTTTGACTGTTCCTACTGGGGCCTATGGAGTTGGAACTGGGCTCCGGCTCTGCATAACTCTTAGCTGGCCAGGAACTGGGTTCCTTCAGGGGCAGAAGGCTGGTGGGGGGTTGGGAGGACTCACTGAACACCCCTCTTGCTCACATTCCCCATACCTCCAGGCTGCATGGCGCCTGTATTCTACTGATACAAGCCGGGCTTACCTGACAGCCACCTGGTACTACTATGACAGTATCCTCCCATCCTTCAGGTAGGTCCTGCTGGGAGTGGGGGTGGGGCTGGCAGTGATGCAACTTCAGCACAGGTGTATGGGGCTCAGCCCTGGAGGGTGGGAAACGGGTGAGGCTCCCGAGGGAGCATCCTGGGCTGGCTCTGCAGTCCTACATAACTCAGAGCCTGGAGGGACCTCTTTCTACTGTGCTGTGTCTGGGGAAGAAGTGGACCCTGGACATGAGACATTGGTGCAGCTCTGCCCCATAGCTGCGCCCTGGCTCCTGGAGTGTTGGTGGTTTGTATGCTCACCCCTAGGTGGCACCACCCAGGGCAGTGGCACAGCCAGCTCAGCCCGCACTTGGTCTTGAGTGAGGAGGAGTATTAGCCCTTAGCAGCCTGGTCTATTGCAGCTGTTCAGAGGGTGTGGAATGGCAGGAACAAGTGTGCTAGGCTGCCCTGTATGTGAGCATGTGCCCACTGTTCCAGGCAGCACCTTCAGCACCCAGAAGTGGGTCCGCCCCACTGGCCCAGGCTGGGCTACAGTTGCACGGGGCTGCTCCGCACAGGAGGTTATTAATAGTGTCACCACGATGCATGTGGCCAGGTTCCTGGCCAAGCCCTGGGGCAGGAATGAAGACCACAGAGCCGGCTCAGTCCCACGGGCCGGCGGTGCAGAGCGTGGCTGGGCCAGGCTGCTGCGCTCAGCGCTTCTGCGCGCCTCTTCCACCTCATTAGTTTTCCAAGAGCAGCTGTTGCGCGATCCCACTCCCCCGCACCTGGCCCCTCCTGCTCCTCCCAGCCCCCAGGGCTTCCCAGGGAAAGAGCAGGAGAGGCGGGCAGGGAAGGGGGCTCCTGGCGTCACCTGCCCCGTCTCTCCACCTGGCTGAGCCAAACTCCCTTCTCAGAGACAGGGAGAGTGGCTGGATGGGAGGAAGTCACCTTTTCCAGAGCATCCCTCAGGGCCCCGGCCAGGTGGAGGAGTGGGGCTAGGGCAGACTGTGGGCAGGAGGGTGGCCTGTGTCCCCTGGTGGGAGGGATAGAGCCTAGTCTGGGTCCCTTGGGCCTGCTGCTCCCTGGACCTCAGTTTCTCATCCCTGAGATGGGAAGGCAGCAGAAGGGAGCCATGGCAATAAGAAATGGTCTAGGGAGTTAGGGAGCAGCTACAGCCCCAGCTTCTGACTCCAGGAACCCAGTGGGAGGGGTGAACCCACAGGAGAGGGCAACTGGGGCAGCCACTCTCTCAAGTCTCCATCCTCAGCCTCTATCCCCTTTAAAATACACAGTCAGGGTGGGAGGCTAAGGATCTTAGGGCCCCTCCTAACCTTCTGCTAGGCACAGCTCCGTGTCTAGCAGTTGGCCTGATGAACAGTCAGCTGAATCTCAGCTTTTACTTCCTGCCTTGTGTGAGTGCTCTTGAATTGTGCTCAGCCTGCACAGCTGTACTTGCCATCCCTGTAGATTTCCCAGGAACTGAGTGTAGAAAGCGGGGAAAAAAGCCACCCTCGCACCCACCACTCTCCACCCCATTTGCTCTGGTCTGAGGTGTTTGTGAGCACCCTGCAGAGGCAGGACCTGGTAGGATCTGAGCTCAGTGTCCACCTGGTGAGGGTGGTACCCCAGCCCTGCCTGCAGCTGATGGCGCCCTCTCCTGCAGAGAGCTGGCCCTCTTGTTTGAGCACGTGCAACGGGCCCGCAATGGGGGCCTACGGCCCCTGGAGGTGCGGCGGGCGCCGGTACCCGACGGAGCGCCCTCCCGCTACCCGCCCGTTGCCACCTGCCACCGGCCGGGCAGCGCCTCCTTCTGCCCTGGGGAAAGGTAGGGGCCCCCTGGGGCCGCCACCACCTCTTGTTCTTCTCTTCTTCCATTCTGTGTCTCATCTTCTCTCAGACCTGCCTCCAGCCACTGCGTGGGTGTCTGGGCTGCTTGGGGGACTCCCACGCCTTGTCACAAGGCCTGGGTGGTTGTCATTGGATGTCCAGACAGGTACAAACTGAGGGTCGCCCCCGAGAGGCCACGCTGGACTCACCTTTATGTCACCTGGGACTCAGGGTCTGAGCGGGAGAGATGTCCACATCATCCTTTCCTCTCACCTCCTCCATTCATGCCATTGTCCTCTTTCTTTCTCTGTTCCCACGTCCCCCTCACTCTTCCATCCCTGCACCCCCCCATCCCTCCTGGGAAGCTGGAGAGAGGAGGAGGCCGCTGGCCACAGGTGCTTACGGCTCAGGTAATCGTGGGCATCGTCTGGGTGTGAGGGCAGGGAACCCCCTCCCCTGGCATGGTGCTCTGGGAGGGGCCTGACACTGCACTCACCGCTTGGGAATCAGATGCCAGCTGGAAGGAGAGCTCTGTGGCTAAGACTGCTGTGGGACCACTAAACCCAGCCTGTGACTCGTGCTCTTGTCTCGTGCAGTCCTTGTCCACAGCCTTGCTAACTACCCGGACGGGGCTCTAGGGAGGCTCTTCTTTCTCACTGACCATCTGCCCTGACCATCTCTTTCCGCTTGACCTGTATCTCCTGGAGCTTTTGCATCTTGAAAGAAGAACCAAGAAAGAACTATGTTGCCCCCAATAAATGTTTGTAAACGGAGGAAATCCGGGCGTATTTGGATAAAGAAAGCCTTCCATTCACAGGATGGGGAACAGCGGCTGCTTCTGTAGAGGTGTAGCTTTGAGGTCAAGGGTTCAGCCCCCTCATCCCTTCCTTGTCCTTTATCCAGCTCTTTGTTTGGCCCCATCTTCACACATCATCCCTGAGCCAGCCAGGTGCACATCTGGGCCTTGAGCCGTGGGTGTAATTCTGAGCCCCAGGCCCGGAACAAGGAATCAGGGAAGAGGTGAGCCCCCTAGTGATCCAGAGGAGGTGCAGTGGAATCTGGCCTCCGCCACCTGATTCTGTGTCCTTGAGAAAATCAAGTCACTCTGTTCCTGGCAGAAAATCAATGATGATCAGGGCCTCTGCGTCCTCTGAGCCTCCAGCCTCAAGAGTTCTGGAGAATGGGGTGATGGGGCTGTTTCGGTGTAGAAGTAGTGGGAACAGTGTTCCTTCCCTGTTCTCAGTGAGGGTACTGTGGGGCCAAGGGCTGAGCAAGGAGTGGGTAGTGAAGGGAGCCTCTCCAGACCTGGAGCTGGAGAGAGGGGAGGTCTGAGTGGCCAGGCCAGGCTAGGATCTTCCCGGAAACGTCCATGGTGTACCCTCACCATCACTGCCTGGAAATCCTCCTTGTTACCTTACTTCTCCGACCACATCACCGTTCATAGGCAGAAATTTATAAGCTTTTGCATTCCAAAAACCTGCCCATGATCTGAGCTTGGGCTCCCCAGTTCACTCTCATCTCACCTTGACTGAACAGAAAGACCCTGGAAATGGAGATTAGCCGGGAGCCTGGCACCTGTACCACCCTCCTGTCTTTTGTAGACCCTTGAGCTCCCAGAAGCCCAGGAACAGATTACAGCTGAGGGTTTGGCCATCATTAACTCCCAGCTTATATCCATCTTCTCTGGAGTGTCTGTGTGTCTGGGATCCATGGTGATGGTGGTGGAGTGTCCCTTCTTCCCAAGGACTCCAGGAGGCTGAGTTGTGCCTTCTGAATTAGTTGCCAGGCTCAGGCCCACTGGCCATATCCTTAATCTTGGCAGCCTGGGCCCTATGGGGTGGGTATTTCAGCCAGGATATCCAGATATACAAAGACATACACAAACCTGGTTGGCTACATCCTCATTGGTGCTTGGAGATAGATCCAGGCTGAGCATGTTGAGCTCTACCAGGAAGTAGAGCTCCAAGGAGCAAGACTTTCTGGGGAATGGCATTCCCAGGACCAGCACCTCCCCTCTTAGTGTTCTTCAGTGAGTTTCTTCAAGCACGGTCTTCTGACCCCCTGCATCAGCATCCCATGGAGCATGTGTCTGAAGTGCATATTCCTGGTCCTTTCCCCAAGCCTGAAGAGTCAGACTCTGGAGAAGAGGCCCAGGATTCTGCATGTGCATCATGTTCCCAGGAGATCCTTATGCAGAGCTTGAGAACCACTGTCTTGAGGATGAGGCTGGAGGGTGATGAGGCTGGAGGGTGACTTGGGGGCGGGCACCTTCTCTCCCACCAGCCACAGGAGGCCGGCCCCATCCTGGCAGCTCCCGATGCTCTCCTCATCTGCCTTTTTGTCACTAACCTGTGTTCGTGTCTTGTTCTCAACTTTCCAGCCAGATGTTTAGTAATAAGCGGAGTTTCTTTCGGATCCACGCCAGCTGGAGACCGAGGTACCCCCTTGCCTCCTCCTCCTGTCCCCACTCCTCCTCGTTCCCCCAGTTTGGGGGCTGGAGAGGGGAACAGGATGGGCCAAGAACAAGGTGCATGTGCCTGCCGCCTGCCGTCTGCCTTGGGGCCCTGATGAGCCCCGTGCCTTCCTGGGATGCCTCTGCCAGTCTGGGGCATGGGCCCAGTGTGCCAGAAGGGACACCTGCCAGAGCCTTGGGGATGTGTCCTGGCTCTGCTGCAGACCCCTGTGTGACCTTGGCCAAATCGCTTTCCTTCTTTGGACGTCGGTTTCCCCTTGTGGGATGGGCAGATTGAACTAGAGGCTCTCTGAGGGTCCTTCCCACTCTGACTTGTGCTGGGTCTTGGGTTTAGCTTCCTGTCTCCCCACTACCCACCTGGGAGCCCGACAGATGGCTGAAGGGCTAGGCCTGGCAACTCCTTTACCAGCTCCAGAGTGCCCGGTCTATTAGCTGCATTGCTACAGTCAGAGTGTGTGCCCTGTGCTAGGCCCTGCTCTGTACCTTGGGGACACAGCAATGAATAAAACATGATCCCTGGAGCGTTGCGGAGTAATTGCAGTTCAGTGCAATGAGGGCCACAAAAGAAAGAGGTAGAGGGTCTGGGGAGCCTGAGTTGGGCACTTGAAGGTTAGGTAGCTCTGAAAAGGGCAGCAGAGAGAGGATGAGGGAGCTGCATGGGCCAGGCTGGGAGGCGAGAGTGGGGGAGAAAAGCCCATGGTCCCCTTGGCCAGATCTGAGATTTGGGTGTCAGAGCTGAGGATGGGGGTGGGAATGGGTCAGGAGGAACCCAGAAGCCAATGTGGGCTTCATCTTGTTGGCATTGCCCGGTGGTCTAGGTTCAAGTAGCCTGGGTTTCCCAAAGGTGCCTCTGGAGCTTTGTGGTAGCAGGTGAGGGAGAGAGCCCCTGGCTGGCTGTGTGTGCTTCTGCCAAGAGGCAGTCTTGCCTAGAAACATGAGTTTCGGATCACAACCTAGCCATTAAGCACTAGCACATGTCCTTGGGCAAATCATGTAATTTCTCTGTCATGCCTCAGTTTCCTCTGAGATACAGATGGTGATAAAATCTGCTTCCATTAACAACACTGTGCCTGGCTCCTATAAAGGCTGGCCTCATTTGATTTGGTGCATTTGGCAGTCAAGATCTTACTTTAAAAAATAGCTTGGGAACCACCGCTATAGGAAATGGAAGCTCACTGAAGGGTTAAGCTGAGGCTATCTGGGTCAGGCCTGCCTTTCTGCAGGATCATCTGTGTTGTGCAGGAGGGACTGAAGGGTGGGGAATGGGGCACTGTGGGGGCAGGGAGGCCAGCAGAGAGGCTGTTTCCTTAGTCCCTGGGGGGGTGCGTGGGCAGCATCGGCAGAGTAGGTTGTCTGTCTCCCCTTGAGCTTGGCCATGGGGGCAGACGATGAGTCCTAAAGAAGTTCCTGGAGGACATGAGGAAAAGGGGCAGAGTCCAGCAGGGCAGCCTGCGCCAGAGCTCACCTCAGGGACAGCCAGGCAAGCCTATCCCGTCCCTCTCCCAGGTACGACCCACCCATTGACCACAGTTGCTCAGCTTTGGCACCACTGACATTTTTAATTGAACAACTCTTTTTGTTAGGGGGCTAGCACATATATTGTGGGATGTTTGACATTGCTCCTGGCCTCCACCCACTGGATGCCAGGAGTGCCCCACAGTGTGGCAACCCAAAATGGTTCCAGACATTGCCAGATGCCCCCTGGTGAGCAAATCACCCCTCATTGAGAATCGTTGCCCTAGTTCCTGCCATGAGCACTTGTCCTGAAAAAAGAACACAGCATCTACGTCTGAGAAATGGTGCAGGCATTGCTCCATCCCGCGAGAGCTCTGCAACCTCACACAGTTGTTTCTCCTCTTTCCGCATCTGTACAATAAGGGGGTGTGGATTCAGGATCCCCCTCCTCGAGCGGCAAAGGATTAGAAACTAAGGCTGGCAGGCGGGGGCCATGTGTACTCCAGGAGCCTGGGAAGGGAAAGAGCTCTTTGGTGCCCACAGTGCCAGGTTTCTTTCCATTTTCTTTGAGCTTTCAGGCTCCAGAGAGGCTGACGTGAGCCATTTTCTGGGCCCTGCCCAAAGAGCTGGAATCCAGGGCTGCTCCTGGGAAAACAGTGTCTTCCTGCACTAAAGAGGAGCCCGGGGCCTCTGACAGGCTGGAAAGTTACAGAATCCCACAAGCCTAGCCAGAGGCTTCCTCCACCATCACAGAATCAGAGCTGGAAAGGGACCTTTCAAGGCCTCTAGTGCAAGCCTCAGACCCCTTTCTCCAAAAGTCCTGCACACTCAGCCTTGTTTGCACACTTCTTGAGACAGGGAGGTCACCCCTTCCTCCAAAATGCCTTGGGACTCGGATGTGCTGGGTGAAGTGATCAAGCGTTCCAGGCCCGTGGCTGAAGCGTTAGCCCCTCCCCAGCCTCCTCTCTTCCTCTCCCCCTTTGAGGAGTGGAAGGCAGGGGCAGGGCTGCACGGACCCAGGGTGGGGGTGCTTGCCAGCATGAGGAGAGCCCGCAGGAATGGCTCTGCAGAGGAAAGTTTGGGAGAGCAGCGCTCAAACTTCATTGGAATCCTTGGGATGTGCCAAGGGGATCCTGGGCCGGTGAAGAGCATGCTGGATTGTGGGAGCAATCCTTGTCCTTCCCTTCTGGTATTCTCAGGACCCCAGTCCTTGACTAGCAAACTCAGTCCTCTGGGCAGAAGCCTCACCTCTAAGGATGGCCCTACATCCTGGCCACCTTCCGGAAGGTGCCCCTGGTTTCGAGATCTCCCTAACCTCAGCACTTTGCCCTGTACCTTCTATTCCATGCCCTGGCATGGAGAACCCCACTTCGCATCCAGCCCCGAAACCAGAACCTGTCCTCTGCGCAACCCTTGATCTGAAAGTTTGACAGTAGGTGATGCAGTCCCTCCCTCGACCCCTGCCCCACCTCAGACCCCCTCTAAGACCAGTTGATGCTGTCCTGAGCTGGGGCTCCTAAGCCTGTCTGCAGTGGCAAACTGCAGCAGGAGCAGTAGCGGCAGCGCCACAGGGTATGGGGTGGCTGTTTGCAAAGGTCCTGCCTACATAGCAACAGTGTGAGGACCAGAGATATAGCTCAGTGGCACAAGTGCCTGTTTGGCAAGTGTAAGGTCCTGAGTTCGATTCCTGGTACCAAAAAAAAACAAACCAAACCAAACCAAAACAGTGTGGTCCTTGAACCTCTTGGACACAGAGTTACTCTACCCAGTATTGGTTAGCCAGGACCTGTCTGGGAACCTGAGGCCTACCCAACCTGTCTTCCTCCAAGGCTGGGGGATGTAGTGGGGATCTGGGTGCAGGAAGGAAATTCAAAACCTGTGTCTTGACATACACGCGTATTATGTGCAGACAGATGTGTGGATTGAACTGGGAGTTCAGCAGGCAGTATAGCGGGTTGGTCTTTGAGAGGGGTCCAAGACCATATGGGTCCAGGTGAGCAGAACTCAGGAAATCACAGAAGACCAGGTTATCAAATAGTCCCTCACTGGGAGCGTGGGCACTGGGTGTGGGCCTAGCAGCTGGACCCACAGGCCATCACATTGCGTGCCTTGCTGGGAGCTGTCACATGGAAGTCTGTGTGAACGGGACCTTATTTTGCAGTGCATCTGCACGATCCCACCAGGTCCTAAATCTCTGACCTGAAAGTTTGGGGTCAGATAGCTCCAGCTGTGTGGAACGGAGGAAAATATCAATTTTCACAAGTGCACACCTGCCATATGCATACACACTAGTACCTATTTACCCAGTCTCATGCACACACACATACCTCCTCAACTAAAGCCCCTGTGCACATAGGACTGGAGGCCTGGTTCAGTGTACATAGCCAGGTGAGCTTTGTCCCTCACTCCCCTGTCTGTGCCCAAAGGGGTCGTGACCTCCACCTTCCCCCACACCACCCACCTGGGCCAGACCCAGATCCTCCATCCTGCTGTCTGTCTCTGACTTCCTCCCTGGGTTTCTCTCACTCCTTCTATTCTGACATCTGTCTCCTGTGCACCCTTATCTGTTTGGGCAATGAAGGGTGGGAGGTAGGGCTGGAGTGGGGATGTGTTCCATCTGACCCAGTTTCAGCCTCCTGTAGGAATCAGTGCCCCCTCCCCACCACACCCTTTCCCATCCCACGAAGTCTCTGGTTGGGAATTAAGACCCAATAGTCACCCCCAGTCTTCTCTGTCCCTATTCAGCCCCAGCCCCGCACTGGCTAACTTGTTCTCTTCCCAACCTGTCCTGCCCTGCCAGCAGCCGGATGGGCATCAAAGACCGCATCCGCATGGGCAGCTCCCAACGGCGGACAGGTCCTTCTAAGCAGCACCTGGCACCTCCACCCATGCCCACCTCCCCGAGCAGTGAGCAGGTGGGTGAGGCCACCAGCCCCACCAAGGTACAGAAGAGCTGGAGCTTCAATGACCGCACCCGCTTCCGGGCCTCTCTGAGATTTAAACCCCGCACCTCTGCTGAAGGTGAGCCTGGGAGGGCTGCAGCCCAGGGTGCAGCAGCTTTGCCCCAGGCTAGATCACATATACCCTAAAGCAGCAGACACCAGGCTGATGTTTACCTTGCCTGGCCACAGGGGCACATGAGTATGTGGCACACTGGAGTCCCACCTTGGCAGGGCAGTGAGGGGCAGCAGCCAGGGAGGCAGCAGCTTGGTCTGCCTTGTGCCCCAGGAGGGTTCTGGGCCCTTTCTGGGACTCTGTCATCCTAGTGGAGGTGGAAGTTGGGAATGGACCCTTCTGTTGCTAGCACTCCAGTGATGTGGGCCATTCTTATCTTTTCAGAGGGCCCCTCAGAGGAAGGCCCAGAAGAGAAGAGCTACCAGTGTGAGCTCACGGTGGATGACGTCATGCCTGCTGTGAAGACAGTCATCCGCTCCGTCAGGTGAGGCTGAAGCCTGAGACTGAGGCAAGCACCCCCTCCATCTGCCACCCACTGCTGCTCCCCATTTGGGCCTGCCCTCATGGCCAGGCCTGGCCTAGCTCCCAGTGTGCCAGCTGCTGCCCGCCTAGAGAGCGGCTGGGGTGGGAAGGTGGCATATGGCTTCCAGGGTTTGCTCCTATACTCCTGTCCAGAGGGTTGGCTCCAAAGGCCCGCAGGCATGGTGGCCCATCCTGGTCCCTGTTCTCATACCCAGCATCCCCCCGTCATCCTGCTCCCCCCTCTCCTCCTCCTCTTCCCTTTCTGTCTTCCACTCAGTGTCAGGCACTCCTGCCCCTCCCTGCCCTCCCCCTCTCCCTTCTTCCTCTCCCTCTCTTTTTCCTCCTCCAGCCGTGTGGACCCCTGCCTGCTCTCCTGAGGTCTCTGTCCCTTCTCTCTTTCCTTGCGTCTGTGCCTCAAATTCTCTTTCCTTGGTGTCTTAGCTCCACCTGTGTGCTTGCACCAGGACTTTCCCTAGAGCAGTGCTTTTCAAAAGATGGCTTGAAATCAACCTAGTAAAGTCAAGTTAGTGGGGCAGAGTCAGCATTTAAAACCAAACAAACAAAATGTGGAAAATATGGAAATGCATCTCTCATATTAAGGGTGAATAATGTTCACAAAATTTTTATTCTAGTTATCTATATGTATGTGTATATGTGCATATGTGTGCTGGTTTTCAACACAAAGTGTATTTCTTATGGTAGGTCTTGGTCAGAAAGTTGTACAGGCTATCTCTGTGCTTCAGCAGTTCAATGGGAAACCATTTCCTGAGTCCTGTAGCCGTGGCCCAGGGGTGGGCTCTGCCCCCAGCTCCTCAGCAGGGAATCTTGGTCCTGTCTCCCATTTCCAGCCTGCAGTTCTAGCTCCAGAGGCCCCTGGACCCCAGGCCTTCTGGGCTGACTCGCCTCCTTATGGGCTCACCTCCCTCCTCCCAGGCACACGCTCCTGCCCACAGGCCTCTTCCTGTCGTTTTCCTTTTGAGATCAGTCATCTGGATCCTCTCTCCAGAGTCTGCACCTCTTCTCACCCCCTTTCTAAAGGCCGTCTCTTCCCTCCTGCAACCACCATCTGGAATACAGGGCCAGAGCTGTGATGGGTGTGCTGTCCTTGCCACTCCACAGAACCATCACACCTGGCATGTGCCAGACCTGCTGCTCCTCCTTCCAGGTCCCCATTCTCACAGGGCGCTGTCCACCTGTCACTGCAGCCGTGGGAATCATCCTGGTCCCGGAAGCCTTTCAGTCCCACCTCCTGAGTTGTTCCCAGCTGTCCCGGAGCTGCCCCAAATTGCCCCCCTCCAGCTCAGTCCTATCACCTGGCTGTGACCCTGGCCCTCCAGAGCATTCTCCACACAAACCTGCCAAAGCAGAGGGAACGACACTCCTTTGGCCCAGTGCCCACTCTCTGCCGGAGACTCCAGGCCTTCACAGTCCTCCCAGCCGTCTCCTCTGTGCCTCCGCTGCCCCTGCCCCTGCCAGCCCTTTTCCATCTTGCCCCTGCTGCTCAGGGCTGAATCTCACTCACACCCCTCCATGCCTGCCTTCATCTCCTGCCTCTTGTTCTGGGACTGGGAAAAGGCATTCTCAAGACTTGTCCTTCCCAGCATGGTGGTACCTGCCTGTAAGCCCAGCACTGGGGAGGTTGAGGCAGGAGGACCACCTTGAGTTCAAGGCCAGCCTGGGCTACATAGTGAGACCCTGTCTCAAAACACTTGTCCCTGACCTCTCCAACAGGCACCTTTCCTTCTCATGACCCTAGGCTTGTCTTTCTCCATGCTTTGAACCTGGACCTTGTTATCCTATAATTGTCTGTGTCTTCTTGGTCTCCCATTCCAGAAGAGGCCAGGGATTGGCTCTGACTCCCCTCAGGTGCTCTGGGCCAAGCACAGTGATGCCAAATATTCATGGAGTGAATGCAGTATTTCTTCTTCCAAGCTGTTATCAGCAGCTGGTGTTATAGATGCCCTGTGTCCCACCCAGCTGACGCACACCAGGTCCAGTCTCTGCCCTCCCGGGGCCAATGCAACTGCAGATACCCATGGAAAAACACCAACCAACCTATTGGAGTGCAGGGAAGGGGGAGCACGGTAGGTGGGTAGAGAGACTGGAGGACTCAGCAGAGGTTACTTGCAGTGGCCTGAGCAGATTCCCTGGTGCTGGACAAGGGGGGTAGCAGAGGGACAGAGAGGGGGCTGGAATAAAGGGTCTCCTATGGGAACTGGACCATCTCTGTGATACCTTCCCCCAACAGGATTTTGAAGTTCCTGGTGGCCAAAAGGAAATTCAAGGAGATGCTGCGACCATACGACGTGAAGGACGTCATCGAGCAGTACTCCGCAGGGCACCTGGACATGCTGGGCCGGATCAAGAGCCTGCAGGCTCGGTGGGTTCCTGCCCACACCCTTGCACTAGGTGTGAAGTCGAGCTGGCTCACCGGCGCCCAGGTGGAGCCTCGCGTGCGCGCGCTCCCCCTAGGGGCCACTGCCGCCGCAGCGGTTTCTGCCCAAGCAAGGTCTCCAGGCTTGCAGGGAGAGGCTGAGGCCAGATCCTGCACTATCTTGAGGCTAAAGGAAAATTTAACCATACAAATCTGCACGCCTCAGGGCTTTCTTTAGAACGACTGTTTCCTGATCCTAAACTAATTGTCCTAAAAGAATCCTGAGGCCGGGAAATCGTTCAGTGGCACAGCACCTGCCTGGCAATCTTGAGTTCCATTCCCAGTACCAAAAAAAAAAAAAAAAAAATCCCGACCTCTCATCTCCCAAGGGAGTAGGCAGATTGATGTGCACTTTTTGCCTCTGGAATTCTGCATCTTTTTTCTAGACCAAGCTTTAAAGGAAGAATCCTTATGCCAATATCAAGTCATCTACACATTGCCCTTGTCTTCTGGTCTGTATTTTCCCTGCCCATTCATCCTCCCAAGTAATAGCCCTCAGGTATTTACTACTTGCCAGATGGTGGGGATGTGATGGAGAGCAAATCTGCATCCCTGACGACCCAGTGGTCATTCTAGTGGAAGAAGAGTAGATGATGAAACTAGACTGCATCAGATGATCACAGGTGCTAAGTAACAAATAAGGATTTGAGAGTTAGGGTTTGCAATTTAAATACATGAGGAAGTGACATTTGAGAAAAAAATGGAAGGAAGTGAGACAACTAGACGTGTTGCTGTCAAAGCGAAGCATTTCCAGAGGGAACAGCAAGTTGGAAGGACTTGAGATGGGCCAGTGGCTGGAGTGCTGGGTGAGAACAGCAGGGATCCCAGTGTGGCTAGACTGGAGCCAGGGAAATAGGAGATGAGGGCAGAGGGCTAAAAGCACTTAGCTGTAGAAAGCGCTGTAGGCCACTGCAAAGACTTTGATGTTCATGCAGGGTGAGCTGTGAGCACTGGAGGGCTTTGTGCAAAGGACTGATGACATCTGAATTATCTTTTAAAAGAATCCCCGTGGACACTGTATTGAGAACGGACTACATGGAAGCAAGGGCATAGACGGTAGACCTCGGAGGCACCTGCTTCAGATGTCAGGCCAGAGATGATGGAGACCTGGAGCAGGCACAGCGGTGGGGAGGTGGGACAAATGGTCAGATTCTGGGTACAGTGTTTCTCTTACACCTCATCAGAAAATCCTGCTGAGGGGGTTTTAGAGAAAGAAAAATAAAGCCAAAGTTTCTGGCTTGAACAAGAGGGAAAATACAGCTGCCATTTATTGACATGGAGGAAGCAAGCAACGCAGTGAGTTTCAATCAGGAGAGTTTGTGACTGGCTACGTTTGTGATGCCTATCAGCCATCCAATCCAGCTAGAGTGTTGATCTAGATATAGGAGTGTGGAGTTCAGGGGAGAGGTATGGGATGGAGATAAAGACTTGGCTATGGGTTCAAACCCATCTCTAAAAAAAAATGTTGGTGTCAGCAGGTACACAGGGATTGAAATCATGGGACTGAAGACATGACCTTGACCTAGCAAGTGGGAATAAACTGAGACAAGAGGTGCCAGGAGCCAGTTTTGGGCACGGCAATGTTTAGAGATTGTGGACACAGAGGAGGAAACTGCCAGGAAGTCAGAGGAGAGGGCAGGGATGTGGGGGAGATGAGCAGGGAGATGCAGACCCGGAGAGGGCTGGTGTTTTGGAATCTGAATGAGGAAAGCATTTGCAGGAAGATGGGGTGATCAGATTCGTCAAGTGTTGCTACTGGGTCTAGTAAAAACAAGGACAGAGTGGACCATTGGATTTAGCAACATGGGGTTCATTGGGGTTCCTGACAATAGTTTTGTGAAATGGTAGAGTACAAACCCGACTGGGGGAAGTTTAAGAGAGAAAGGGAGGAGAGGAATTGGAGGTTGAGGCCAGTAAACGAGCAAAAGAAAAGCTGGGACCAACTCTAACCTTGCCCCGTCATAACTCACAGTCCCACTCGTCTCCCCCTTTCCTAGCCCACCATTCTCCACTCCGCCGCCAGCCGATTGTTTTACTTTCACGCTTGTGTAATGATGTCTTGGCTCCCTCACCTGGAGAGCCCCCAAAGCAGGGCTCGGCCTCCCCACTCCAGCTCCGCCTCCCTTCGGAAGGGCAACGGCTTCCTCCCTCAGAGCGCCCTCCCACCCTGCACCCTGCGCCTGCAGGATGTCTTCCCCTTCGGCAGGCAGCAGTTCTAGTGGCAGGGTGGGGCGACAAGTACCCCAGCCCTTTGATGGTACCTTTCCCCACAGGGTGGACCAGATTGTGGGTCGGGGGCCTGGAGACCGGAAGGCCCGGGAGAAGGGCGACAAGGGGCCCCCCGACGTGGAGGCGGTGGATGAAATCAGCATGATGGGGCGCGTGGTCAAGGTGGAGAAGCAGGTGAGTGCTGAATGGACTTTTGCCGGGGTGGTGGAGCCGGCTGGCCACCGAGCGGCTCTGCAGGGCCACGGGAACAAGGGGAGAACCGCATCCCAAAACACCCACCCGAGAGGCTCTAGCAGGACCTCTGCATCCCCTGCCTGGCCAAACTCCGCCTCACGGATAAGCCCCGCTTTCCCAAAAGCCCGCCCGGTCCTGCTGAAGGATCCCGGACAGAAGCCTGCCCTCTCCTGCTAAGGCCCGTCTGTAGGGTGCTACGATCTCAGATATGCCCCCCCTGCCTCAGATCCCACTGGGGGTCACTGCTAGGCGACTCCTCTAGGTGAAGTCCCTCTCGGGCCGCGCCCGCCACAGCACCGGCCCGGGCCACGCCTCCTCCCTCACCGATCCAGCGAAAGCCCCTCCCCTGGTGGGGCGGCCCTGCCCCCTCCCTGGACAGACCTCACCCCAGCCAAGCCCGCCTCCCAGCTGTGCCCCGCTCCCAGGTGCAGTCCATCGAGCACAAGCTGGACCTACTGTTGGGCTTCTATTCGCGCTGCCTACGCTCTGGCACCTCGGCCAGCTTGGGCACCGTGCAAGTGCCGCTCTTCGACCCTGACATCACCTCGGACTACCACAGCCCTGTGGACCACGAGGACATCTCCGTCTCCGCACAGACGCTTAGCATCTCCCGCTCGGTCAGCACCAACATGGACTGAGGGACTTCTCAGGGGCGGGGCCGCACTGGGCCAGCCCCTCGGCCTTGCGCTCGGACCCGCCCTCTGAGGCCTCTGGACTCCTCTTACTTGAACTCGCTCCCGCGCTCGGGGAGAGAGGCTGCACGCAGTATTGAGCTGCCTGGGTGGGTGAGATATCCGCTGCGGGTGCCCCCACACCGTCCCCACCCCAGGAGCGTGAGGTGCCAGGCAGCGCAGAGGGCAGCAGCAGTGGCTGCCTCGTAGCCTCCGGGCCCCTCAGAACTCTGCCCGCTCCATCAAGGCCTGCCATGGCCCACCTGGCAGGGTCACTGCCCCAGGAGTGGGGCGGGACCCTGACCCAGCTTCCAGCTATGCAAGGTGAGGTCTGGCCTGCTCTTCAGAGAGAGCAGGGAAGCCCTCCCGCCAAGTCCCCACCCCACTGGGGATGGGCCCAAGGTGTCCCCACAGATACCCACAAAGCACAGGACCCTGCCACAAGGCAGGCGGGCACCATATATGCAAACTCTGTTAAATATGCAACTTCGGGGGCCCCCATGGGGTCCCCCTGCCCATTCTCCATTGGGAGTTGGGCCCCCAGCAGTAGCTGGTCTCAGGCTGCTTGGCCATGACCCCCTCCCCGTTCTTTGGCTTATCACCCCCCCTGCAGCATGGGGCCTGTTTCTCCCCAACTCTCCCATGGCCAGCGCCTGGGCCTTCCTTCCCATCTGCAGGTGTCACCTCCTAGGAACTCCCTCTTTCTGCTGGATGTCCATTCCCCTCTTTGGCCCTCCAGATATCTTTGACAGCACAAGTTTCTGTATTCTCCACGATCTCCCAGGCACTGTCCCATGGATGGGTTGCACAAATGTGGTCCTTTGTTTCCTCAGATGTAGAGAAAGACTCCCACTCACGCTGATGCCCACAAACAGGCACTTGGAGATGTGAGCACAGGGACACTCGGCCTTTCCTGAGCCTCTGCAGCCGATGCTGGCGGGCTGGCCTTAGTGGGTCTCCACTATGAGGTAGCCCCTCCCTCCCTCTGCACAGAAGAAGGAGCTTTAAAGTGAGCCCAGGTCTCTCCAGGCCAACCCCAGAGCTTTACCAGCTCCCCTTCCTCAAAACAGACTCCTCTGTAGCCCAGGAGCACTGCTGCTGCCTCTGCCTGCCCCGTGGGCCTCCCTCAGAGTCCTCAGCACAGCTCAGGCCTAGGCCTCTGGGGCCTGCACACCACTGGAGAGACCCCAGGCCCACCCCTTCCTAGTCACTCTAGCTGCCAGAGTGGACAGTAATGCATCTAGCAGCTACACCAACTGTGCACATGGCTGTCACCTGCACTGTCCCCTCCCCACTTCACATGACAGCCCATATACTGGCATAAGTGCCCATCCACTGCAGGCCCCCAGCACCACTTTTGTATCCCTACCCCTTTGTTCCTGGCAGGAGGGCAAGGGGTAGTGGACCAATGGCAACTCTCCGTGGGGTTCCAGGGAAGAAGGGGCCAAGACCAAGCTGCCTGCTTCTCATACTGGGGACCTGCATGTACTAGCACCAGGGCTCGGGTTGGATCTTGCTCAGCCCCGTGGTGCCCAGCCTCTGCCCTAACTGCCCTCTGCATGTACCATCATGCCCTGGATGGAGCATCTCTTGGCTCACCTCACCTGCACTGCACTGTCACCAGAGAGCCACCCCTCTACTTCCTCAGAGACAGCTGTGGAGAAGGGCAGGAGAATAGGATTACCCTGTGACCAAAGGACATATAGGAAGAGGCCCTCCCTCCTTCCACGATCGATGTTCCCCCACCAACCCAGTCCTTGGATATGCAAGTACCTCACTTTGTTAACTTATTAACTTATTGGTTTCATTAAAGTTTTCAGTAGAAGGTGGCTGGTCTTGGTTTTGTTCAGTGGAATGAGGGTAGTCTGAGGGTAGGGACAAGCAGATTAGGATTAGTTAGGACTTTTTGTTGTAAACACTAACAACCCAACCTTACATGGTTCAAGTAAAAAAAAAAAAAAAAAAGAAACATAGGTGTAGGGAACTAAAAAGTATAGGGGATATTTTTGGCTTCATGCACGACTAGATATAAGTGCTTAAATATCCAAGGAATCTGTCTTCCATCTCAGCCTTTCTCGTGGACAGACTGGCTTTGCATGGTGAGTGAAGAGTGGTACCAGTGAGGAGTGGTACGTACCACTTCCCTAATAGTTTGTCCAGCCAGGGACTATCCTGAAAGCAGAAATAACAGATTTTCAAAAAGGGGAATTTATTATAGGGACTGACTGGCTTACACTGTTGCATGAGGGCCACAAGATCAAAGAGAACACAGTGAGTTCAGGATACAGCGACAACTCCAACAGAAAGTGAATTCAGGATACAGCGACAACTCGGAGAGCTGCAGGAATGTAGGAAGAGGTTGGGACTATCGGGTCCCACAGCTTGCAAGGACGACACCTGTATTGTTGAAGAGGAGGCTCTCTGGGCGCTGCAGCTAAACTAAGCACTAAACTGTTAGTGATCCTTACAATCTCCATATGAAATCACAAGGGGGAAGAAAGAAGGAATAAAAAATGAATGTATACAATACTCATAAACACACATATACATCAAGCAAAGCAGAAAAATATATATCTGCAACAGACTTTCTGCTGGTGACAGCACCATAGTTGGTAAATATAATTTTCTTCTTCCTTTGCCCTTCTGTGTTTCCTTTGCCCTCAGCCAACACCTCAACTGGTTAGGGTTCTTTATAAGGTCAGGTGGCCCAAGTCATCATTTCTGAGGGTCTGAATCCTTCGTGATCCTACATGGTTTTCAGTGCTGTAGCTTTTCATTAACTTTTTCTCTTGTGCATGGAAGTACAGTTGTCTCTTGGTATCCATAGTGGGTTGGTTCCAGGCCCCACTGCTGGAAACAAAGTTGTAGATGCTCAAATTCCTAATAAAAATGATGTAGTACTTACGTACAACTTATGTACATCCTCCTTTATACTTTAAGTAGTCTCTGTCTTCCAATAATTAATATAACTTAGATGCTAATATACATAGTTGTAATAATGTCTTGTTTAGGAAATAATGAAAAAAGTCTGTACATGTCAAGTACAAATGTTTCAGTCCTCAGCTGATTGGGTTTCTGGACACAGAGGGAGGAGGACTGACTGCACAAAGAAGGGGGCCTTTGCCCTGGGATTCCCTGGGATTCTGTACACAGTCCACCTTGTCCTGTGTAGCAGCAACTCAATTTTTCCTTGGTGATGAGGGTCAGTCATGCAGCCAGGATATGAGGTCTTTCTTGACCTCTTGGTTTAGTGGCAAGAGGAGCTGAAAATGGCCAATCAAATGCATTGGAGAGTATATAGTGAGCAAGTAGGATTTGGCAAGGATGGGAAGTAGGGTGTTGGTCTTGGTGGTGAATGTTTCAGCTACATGACACAGAATGTATAAATGTCCAGAGGCACCAGAGGCCATGGGACAGAAAGAAATCCTCTGACTAGCCTCAGAGAACAAAAGAGAGTGTGGTACAAGATGAGACTTTAGAATTAAGGGTCAAGAATTTGTAGAAATGCTAAGGTGTAAATCAGTGGTAAGGCACTTACCTAGCATGTGCAAAACCCTGGGTTCAATTCCTAGTACTGAAAAAAAATTGTAGGACTTCAGAAATCATTCCAAAGAAGTGACACTCAATGTTGGGGGCAGTTGGGAGCCAATGAAAGCTTCCGATTGGGGATCACACCGAGATAGACTTGCATTTTAGAAAGTTTTCTTCCTAGCATGGCAGATGGATTTGAGGGAAAAAGGCTGGGTGTGGGGAGACCAGGCAGGAAGTTGCTGCAGTAATCCAAGTAGGAGATGTTAGCAACTTGAACAAGTCCTGTGGAATTTTACAAATTGAGTAAATGTCTACTGAACACCTGCTGTGTGTCAGACCCTGGCTCAGCATAGTACACAGGATGAGTAGACGCAGGGGAATGAGGTTTGGCCCTGAGGTCATCCAGCCCCTGGGGGAGACAGATGCAAAATTAACCAATGCACAACTCACTGTTTCTTTTCTAAGTTTGTCTGGCTCAGCAAGGAGAATTTGCAGATGGCTATGGGAGTCCCCAAACTGTCATCAAATATGGCCTGGAGAGCAGATATGATTTTAGCTTGGTGTATCATTTATCTATTGCTATGTAACAACTCACTCTAAAACTTAGCAATTTAAACAATAAATTTTTATTTATTCTTGATTCTCGAGTCAGCAGTTTAGGCTGATCTCAGCTGAGCAGTTTTCCCCTGGTATCATTGGGGAATGTATGTATCATATGAGTATCATATGCTCAATGTGAGCATACTCAGCTGGCATCTTGACTGAGTCTGGGTGGTTGCTATGGCTCAAGTGTGCACCCCATCCGCTCCTGTGCTGGAAGCCTGGCCCATGCTACAGTGGTGTTGGGTGCTGGAACCCTTAAGAGGTGGAGTCTAGTGAAAGGTAATTAGGTGATGGGGGCACTCTCAGAAGGGCTAGTGAAGGCCTCGAGGGATTGGGTTCATTCCCTCAGGATCTAATAGCGATTAATTGAATTGTTATAAGGGACCCTGAGTCCCTCTTTCACAGGTGCTGCCCACCACTCTTGCACATGCTCCCACCATTGTGATGCCACCCACATCGAGGCCTTTAACCACAACTGATCAGGTGGTGCGCGGCCTCTGACTTTCTAAAACTGTGAGCTGAAAAATCTCTTCTTCTTCTTCTTCTTCAAAAAAAATCTCTTCTTCACAATGTACTCAGCATCAGCTATTCTGTTACAGCAACACAGAATGGGCTAAGACAATGACCTAAGGTAGTTTCACATGTCCAGGGTGGGCAGATCCTAGTTAGTTCACGGGCAGGATTGCTTATCTCTGTTCCATGTGGCTCCTCATGCTCCAATAGATTAGACTGGGCTCCTTCACTGGCAAGAGGGCCAAAGCAGAAGCTCTGAAGGCCAGCCTCAGATGCTTACAAGCAGCCTGGGATAACAGTAGTGCAGAGGCTTGACTTGG